TAAAATTTCATCAAACTCGGTCAGGCCCAGTCAGGCCGTTTCGGAGAGTAAGGTAACAAAAATTAAAAAAACATCCCCTATTAAAAAAAGAGCGGTTGATGGTAGAAAAAAGAAAATTTAGGGTTGTATGTATTTTTGCCAAATTGTATTAATGTATTAATTGCCAAATGTATTAATTGCCAAATCATAAAAAAATAGAAAATAAAAAATTCCAAAAATTAAAAAATATATTTTTTTTGGGCCACCAAATCGATAACCTAGTCTCAGACCCACTGATTATACATATAAAATTTCATCAAAACCGGTCAAGCCGTTTCGAAGGAGTAAGGTAATAAAAAAAAAAAAATTAAAAAAAAACAACCCCTATTACAAAATAGGTGTTGGTGGTAGAAGGAATGAAAATTTAGGGTTGTATGTATTTTATAATGCCAAATCATAAAAAATTAAAATAATTTTTTTTTTCAAAAAAGTAAAAAATTTTTTTTTCTTGGGTCACCACTTATCATAGGGGTATAAAATCGATAACAACCTAGTTCTCATATCCACTGATTATACATATAAAAATTTCATCAAAATCGTCAAGCCCGTTTTCAAAGGATTAAGATGTAATAAAAACTGTGACACGAGAATTTTTATAGTATATTAGATGTATATTATTCACTTAAAAATTTCTAAATCCGCTCCTGGCGTGACCCCCACCAAAGGAACCCAGATCGGAAAAACAGGCAGCCTTCGCGCATTATAAAATAGAGCATTTGTTACCTCTTTCTCTTCTAACCTCTTTGATTGCAAATAACTAGTGAATTGGAGAGATAAACATACTATTAAAAAGACATTTTAGTAGTATGTTATCATCTATTTACTGATAATACATAAGTATATAATAGGTAAATAACATGCATAAGGCACTATGATACAACTACCTGTATCATGATAACACACTAATATCACAAAAAATATGTGCTAATTTAAATTCCTTTAATGAACTAATGAAACACTATCTAGCGTCAATGCATGCCATTCCAAAGGCAAAAAAAACTATTATACCAAATAAATATAAGCTGAATAAAACATACACTAAGCCAACGTGCATAAACAACCAAAAAATCCATCAAAAAAATACTTTTATCAGATCATACCCTTGGATATATTATGTATTTTATATATGGCACATCCAGTTCAAAAGTTCACTAACTCAAAATAGAGAATATAGAGAACATTGTCAAGAGAAGTAAAAGAAAATGTAAGTTAAGGAATACGCTCCTTTTTGCATATTAATGGCCAAATAATATAATGTTAATTTAATAAAATTTTGCTGGCATCCTTCTGAGGTATAAATCAGATTAAAAGGACATTGTTGTTGTATTAATTGTTTGTTTTGTAAATATTTTTTGAAGACAATACAGTTTTGAACGGGCTGTGCGATATAAACAAGGATCTTACTATTATATGAGATTAGAAAGTATTTAAATAACATAAAACATAATCAAAATCATTTTTCATCATAAATTATAGAGGTACTTACGTGTTTTGATATTATGATCAGGAAATGATACGTTTAGTTAAACAGGTACGCTACCAGGCAAGTTCTATCGGCGGGTCTTTGCAAAAGTTGAAATCTAAAAATACAAAAATACGTTTACATCTTAGTTGTATTTACGAATAAAGTATTTGTGTGTAATTTCTGACTTACCAGTTAACTGAATAATCGCATTAAATACATCCAAATGGTAATTTAATATTGTAAAAAGCAAAATTGTTTTAAATCACTTGCCAGGACAGCCCGGTCAACTTCTTTGTTGGCAAAATGGCCGCGGCTGTGGCCGCGGTATCATGATTTAAACAATGTGAGTGACAAAGAAAGCCAATGCCTGGCAGATGTTGCTTTCTTTGTCGTTGGTCCTGGCACGTTTAAATTTGACTGTTGCCTGTTTTCCCATACAAGCACGGTGCAAAAACTTAAATGGCAGGATTTGGAACAAGAATTGCCAAATCCCGCTGTCAGAGGGCGCCACTGTCGATTTAAAAATACATGGGCGGAGTAAGAGGGAAGGAAAAGTTTCTTCCCGCCACCCGTCTCATCGTAATATTTCGTCATTTTTCCCGGCAGCCATCAGTGCCTAACTTTTCTGGAGCTACAGAGAGGTATGTGTTTTGTGGTTGTGAGTGTCAGTGTTCATTCTCAAAGTAAAGACGTTTTATATGTTGTGTGCCCGGCCTTTTTATAGTGTATTATTTTAAATTAAGAACTTTTTATTTTGTGTATCCATCAGTGGATTATTCTTTATATGTAATTACCTAGAAATTGGTTTATAATAATATAACCTGCTCGATAACAGCTAGGTTAAGGTTAGGTTAGTGTACCTTGGAAATGGCTATCGATGGAAGATTGATATTCATTAATTAGTTAGATTTACTAATATAATTTTGCATTTTGAATGCCATCAATTGTCATTCCTAAGGTAACTTGATGCAGCTTTTTCGTAATCGTATGGTACAATATGATCGAAAAAACGGCGTCACCGTTGGCAGGATTTGGAAATCAAGAATTGCCAAATCCCGCTGTCAGAGAGGCGCCACTATCGATTTAAGCCATGGGCGGGAGTAAGAGGGAAGGAAAAGTTTCTTCCCGCCACCCGTCTCTCATCGTAATATTTCTGTCATTTTTCCCGGCAGCCATCAGTGCCCTAACTTTTTTCTGGAGCTGAGAGGTATGTGTTTTTGTGGTTGTGAGTGTCGTAGTGTTCATTCTCAAAGTAAAGACGTTTTTATGTTGTGTGCCCGGCCTTTATAGTGTATTATTTAAATTAAAAACTTTTTATTTTGTGTATCCATTTAGAGTGAATTATTCTTTATATGTAAGTACCTAGAAATTAGTTTATAATAATATAACCTGCTCGATAAAAGCTAGGTTAGGTTAGGTTAATTGTACCTTGGAAATGGCTATCGATGATAAGGAAGATTGATATTCATTAATTGGTTAGATTTACTAATATAATTTACATTTTAAATGCCATCAATTGTCATTCCTAAGGTGGCTTGATGCAGCTTTTCGTAATCGTATGGTACAATATGATCGAAAAAAAAACGGCGTCACCGTTGGCTATGAAATAAATATCGCTGTCATTCTCTCTCTATATGTAAAATTATATGAGGAACGTCATCGACCGCGTCATTTCCAAGCCAACTTGACTTCGTTTTTTCGATCATACGGTATTACTTTAGTATTACCATGTACCTAGGTATAGAAATTTAGAAAACAAAAAGAATACAAAAATAGTTGTATATATATATATTTTATCCGAGCAATAATTGTAATGTTTAATTTTTAGTTGCCTATAAATTTAATGAGCCGCATTTGTATTGTAAAATTTCGAAATCTACAAAAAAAGAAAAAATAAATAAAAATTTATAACAAAAAATAAATGATTTTTATTATAAACTTCCTTGTAATATCTGGTATATAATCAATTCACATGTGTTATTAATCATACACCTATTATTAAGTAAATCTGATAGTACTTTTTGATTTTGGTATAGAAAATATTGTAATGTGATTTTTACCGCATGTGTATTGTTTAACGATTATAGGCTAGATATTTGTTTGGCAAGTATATTAAATCAAACATCTTTTACAACATATTTTTTAAAAAATATATTGTATAAGATGTTTATTTAACTTTACTTGAAACAAATTATCTGGTATAAAATCATCCTAGTTTAAATATTGTATGATCGAAGAATACGGCTTCAAGTTAACTTAGAAATGACTATTGATGACATTAACCATATAACTTTACAAAGAAAATGTTATCAATCGTCATTTTTAAGTTAACTTGGAATCGTTATTTTTCGAACATACGGTATATTAAATTAATTAGGTGTAATATAATACTATAGATGGCGCTGCCAAAATTGCTTTGAATGCAATGCAGATTTCTTTTTAAAATTTAATTGCAGATTTCTTTTTTTTAATTTAATTTGTAGTTCTAAATCCGTGTCATAGATGGCGTACCAAAATGTTGTCCTAATTTTTTGTACGGAAGATTTCGTTCTGTTTTAATCTGTTCTGTGCATACAAGTGACATCCCCGTGCTTTACAGTTTGACATTAGCTAATACCCTCTAATACTAATTTCATTCTCGACTTAAGACTATTTCCGAACAATAGTGTATTGTTTTATTAAGAGTAGAAATTATACTTTTTTTGACGATGCTGTACATTTGAAGGACCATCGTAAAGCTATTCCGACGTTACAAGGAGGCAGAAAAAGTACATTTTTACTCCGAATAAAACACTATTTTTTTAAAACATTACAAATAATTTTTTAATCAATTTCAAACATTGCAAATAATACAACCAGTAATCGAGAAACGATTTGTACACTCGTTGAATTTGACACCTAATATCAGTTTAATAATATATTTTTGTACTTTTGTGCTTAGGCGTAACAGTGCTTTACTTTTATGCCTATAGCCGTTAAAGTGACAAAAATTAATACTTTTGAGACGTTTAAAAAAAATCCTTTTGATCTGAAGCGAGCGACATTTTTGCGGAATATATTGGTGACCGATGTGGAAAAATAACAGGCCTCGTAGAATTGTTAATGTTATCGGTATCGCTCAGAGTTATTAAGATTTAGTCATTTAGGATAGGACTTTAATTGGAAATAAGTCCTAGTCATTTGGAAATCCGATTTAAATATTGTTTTGAATTAAAATCAAAAAAATCTGATTTAAATAAAAAAAATCCGATATAAATAAAAAAAATCTGATTTTTTTGATTTTTAAAAAAAATCATGATTTTTTCCAACCCTGATTATTACTATTATTATACATTAAGATTAAGACTCACCCTGTATATTAAAAATACGTAAGTTATCTGTTCTTATCGTATGTGTTTCCATAGTGTGAGCGGTTGGAGTCGTCATTATTATTTTTGTAGGCAGTTGGAATACTAAATATTTTAGATAAGTGTTTTGTTCGCTTTTTTTTATTATTGAAATGTGCTTCTATAGTGCCTGAACAAATGGCATTAAAGTTGCGAAACACACTATTTTTATTTCTACATACTAATTACTGGGAACAATACAATAATTATAATAACTAATAATTTGCTATAATTTATGGCACAGAGGTCATAGCGATGAAATTTGACTGTTACAGGTCGAAAGTACAGAAAAAGATCTATAGATGTGCCATTTGTAGCTTTCAAACTAAACACAGGCAAAGTCTGCACCACCACAAGAAAGTTCACTGGGCACCGGAAAAACGACAGATGTTTACTTGTGCGAAATGTGACAAGAAATATAGATTAAAAAAGAGTTTACAATGCCACCTCAAGCGTGATCATCTTGATTCCAGGTAAATTAATTGTTAATGTAAGAAATATTGATTATGACGATTCCAATATCATATTTAATATCCCTAAGCCCACGGCCACACAGAAAGCGTTTTTAGCGTTTTGCGTTTTTTGCGCCTCAAGCGGTTTTTGCGATTCGACCGTTTTAAGCACTTTTTTCGATTTGTGCCCATTAAAAACACGTAAAAGACGCGGCAGGTTTGCAGTTTCCATCAAGATGTCAATTAGTAACACAAGCTCGTGGATTCCCGGCCCGTTCAACAATCAATCCTGTGAGAAAGAGATAGGCGAGATCGGCGCGGTTAGCGTTGAAGAGACGAAGATAAAAGATTCTGGGATTGAATTGTGGACGGGCCGGGGCATATATTCGGCGACAAACACATCTACTGCTAGTGCCAGTGGTATGTGTAAAAATAATAATTATTATTTACCATTTATTTTACGAATTTTAGTTTATATGTGAATATTTTTTTATGTTATAGTGTTGTGGTTAGTACTTGTTATAATTTTGATATAATAAATAATTATAATTATATAATAGACTAGTAAATATGTCTAGTTACTAATGCAATTTTAGGACATTATTTATGAAACATTTTGGAGTAAAACTTCTTTACGCGCGCTGGGAGTAAAAATTCAAAGCCGTGACATACGAGCTAGTGACGGCCCTGACACACGAGCTCGTTGTAACGAAACGTGTTAACACCTTAGAAATACTTAATGACGCGACGTGTATTTGTGAGCAGTCCACGTGTTTATCAAAAATATTGATATTTTAATACAAATTTTGTAAAAGTGAATTAAATCATTACACGTAAAAAACTATTTTTATTATTTTACGCGAATAAAACTCTTACGCGTAAAAAACTATTTTTTGCGCGTATAAAACTATTTGTTACTGGTATAAAACTATTTGTTACGTGTAAAAATGTATTTGTTACACGTTAAAACTATTTTTTTATGCGTCAAAAACTTATTGTTTCTGGCAGAAAACCTTTCTTACGCAAAAAAAAAATTTTACGCGTAAAAAACTATTTGTTACACGTAAAAAACTAATTTTTACGCGTCAAAAACTTATTGTTTCTGATGAAAAACCTTTCTTACGCAAAAAAAATATTTTTTACGTGTAAAAAACTATTTGTTACACGTAAAAAACTATTTTTTACTCGTTAAAAACTTATTGTTTTTAGTAAAAAACTCTTTTACCCAAAAAAAAAGATATTTTTTACGTGTAAAAATACTATTTGTTACACGTAAAAACTATGTTTTACGCGTCAAAAACTATTTGTTTCTGTTAAAAAAACCTTTTTTATGCAGAAAAAAAACTTCTTACGCATACAAAAACTATTTTTTACGCGTAGGAAAATAGAATTAATTTATTACCTTTTCAACATTTCAGACTACACTTTTTCAAACAATTCCTTCAAATTTTTGAATTTAATAGAATCTTCCTAAACAGTAGATGTTCTTTATAAAAATATTTTTAGATAATACCCTAAAATGAAAAAAAATGCATACTACTTAATTTATTTTTATTGTATTATTAAATACTAGTGTGTACCCGCGACTTCGTTCGCGTCGGATTAATCATTTGTAATGGTGATGATCAAGCAAAGCAAGAATTTCCATTAACATACAAACTAAGATAAAATTTTCTTACATTTATGTCAGCATGAGAAAAAACAATATGGCGATATTATTATATAACTTGGTATAATATTTGAGGGGTAGTTTCATCTCGTTGGAATTTGACTTTCGAAAAATTAGTTTGCCAAAAATAAGCTTTTTACGTCAAGCAGTTTAAGCAGAATCGTGATTAATCAATTACCCAACTTTTTGGAACACCCTGTATGATTTTTTAAAAATTTCAAAATATGTAAAAAACAAAATCAATTATGCGTGTCCAAGTGTTTTCCCGAAAGGCTCGCCGTATTTAAAAACAAATATTGTAATATTTGTGGGTCGTTTCACACCCGCTTGGAATTTGAAATTCGAAAACCCCTCTTTATCGAACCTCTACACCCCACAGTCAATCCGTTTGCCAAAAATCAGCTTTAAACGTCAAGCAGTTTAAGTAGAATCGTGATTACTCATTGGTTATATTTTATGAAACACCCTGTATAAATTTTTAAAAACCTTAAAATATGTAAAACAACAAAAAAAATATACATGTTTAAGAGTTTTTCCGAAAAACTCACCGGTTTTTAAATAAAAAATATTCTAATATTTGAGGGGTGGTTTCACCACCTTAGAATTCGAGTTTCGAAAAATCCCTTCTTATCGAACCTCTACACCCTAAAGTCAATCCCTTTTCCAAAAATCAGCTTTTTACGTCAAGCGCTTTAAGCAGGATCGTGATTAATCAATGACCAATTAATCAATTTTTCGAAACACCCTGTATACATTTTTAAAAAATCTTAAAATATGTAAAAAAAGAAAATAAAATATACGTGTTCAAGCGTTTTTTCGGAAACTTGACCGTTTTTTAAATAAAAATATTCTAATATTTGAGGGGCGGTTTCACCCCTTTAGAATTCGAGTTTCGAAAAATCCCTTCTTATCGAACCTCTACACCCTAAAGTCAATCCGTTTTCCAAAAATCAGCTTTTTACGTCAAACGCTTTAAGCAGGATCGTGATTAATCAATGACCAGATTTTTCGAAACACCCTGTATACATTTTTAAAAAATCTTAAAATATGTAAAAAAAGAAAATAAAATATACGTGTTTAAGCGTTTTTTCGGAAACTTGACCGTTTTTTAAATAAAAAATATTCTAATATTTGAGGGGCGGTTTCACCCCCTTAGAATTCGAGTTTCGAAAAATCCCTTCTTATCGAACCTCTACATCCTAAAGTCAATCCGTTTTCCAAAAATCAGCTTTTTACGTCAAGCGCTTTAAGCAGGAACATGATTAATCAATGACCAGATTTTTCGAAACACCCTGTATACATTTTTAAAAAATCTGAAAATATGTAAAAAAAGAAAATAAAATATACGTGTTTCAGCGTTTTTTCGGAAACTTGACCGTTTTTTAAATAAAAAATATTGTAATATTCCACCCCCCTTTTTACCCCCTTAGGGGATGAATTTTTAAAAATCCTTTCTTATCTTACGTAAACATCATAAAAGGAACCCCTGTGCAAAATTTCAGCTTTCTAGGGTCAAGGGTTTGGTCTGGGCGTTGATGAGTCAGTATCAGTCAGGACAGTCAGATTTATATATATAGATAACGTCCGCCTATGACGGGGTCTCATCTTAGAAATAAAGACGCTACAGAAAACAAACTGATTTGTTTTCATTTGCGTTTTTTGCGAGACACGCCGAACGCACACGCTTTTGGTGTGGCCACTCCTATATAATCCTGTTATTTTGTTTTAGTCGCTAAAGACGCTTCACGCAAAAAACGCTTTCTGTGTGGCCGTGGGCTTACCACTAACAACATGAAATAATAATAAAATACAGGGTACGGCAATAGTGCGTCGGACATCTGTAGCTCTTAGAATAAAAAACTTGGTAATTTTGTTTGTGTACAAACCTAAAGTATGTACTAGGATGTATTTTGGGAATATATTTTTACCTCTACAGGGTGGCTCAAAAAAATGTGAGTGGATCGGGATGATTTTTTTAACGGAACACCCTGTGTATTATTGCATTTTAGGCTTCCCTTCCGATCACTTTACATGATTCTAAGATATTTTTAAATATGTTTTGATAGTTTCAGAGACAATAATAAATAAATAAAAAATATATTTTTTTCGGCCTTTTTTAAAGAAAAATATTAAAAATACAAGAACTGTCCTGAAATCAAAACTATATTAGGTATTTACTTTAGATGGTCTGTAAGTACTTACTTTTCGATAAATATCGTAAACTTAAATCATACAGGGTGTTCAAAATTCTACGACAAATTTTCTAAAATACAGGGTGGCGCACCTCATTCGCCTCGGTTGATTATACGAAAACGGAAAGATGTAGAAACAAAATATTTTATGGGTATATGTGGAGAGACAATGTGCACAATTTAAAATTATTTTGAAATATACAGGGTGTTCAAGAACTAAGATCCATACCAAAGTTATATTTTTTCTTATGAAACAACCGGTATTTTATTTCACTTTTGGATTCTTGGGCTCAAAAAAAGCCATTTATTACAAGGGTTAAATATGTTTAAAATCTCTAATTTTTGAGATATTTAAAGATATTTAAATTTGCATGCTACAATAGAATAGACTATTAACACCCTGTACATTACTTTTCAGAATTAATTCTTATGCTGAGCTTAAAGGTAGAGAAATAAACTTTACTGAAAAATGGTATTGGTTCCTTATTTTTATTCAAAATCTGAGCCAGATAGGTATAGGAAACCCTAATATAGTTTGAAAGAGTATTTAAATCTACTTCGACCTATTTAAAAAAATACATATGTTGCATTTAAAATAACGAAGTTTTTATGTAAAATAAATATTTAAAATAGACCAGCAATTTTTGATACCCCTGTATACATTTAAGGAAGGAATAACATTTTTCTGTAAAGTTTATTTCTCTACCTTTAAACTCAGCACAAGAACTAATTCTGAAAAGTAATGTACAGGGTGTTATAATCTATTCTATTGTAGCATGTAAATTTAAATATCTTTAAATATCTCAAAAACCAAAGATTTTAAACATATTTAACCCTTATAATAAATACCTTTTTTTGGGCCCAAGAACCCAAAAATGAAATAAAATACTGGGTGTTCCATAAGAAAAAATATAACTTTGGTATAGATCTTAGCTCTGAAACACCCTGTACATTTCAAAATAATTTTAAATTGTGCACAGTACCTCCCCACATATACCCATAAAATATTTTATTTCTACATCTTTCCGTTTTCGTATAATCAACCGAGGCGAATGAGGTGCGCCACCCTGTATATATTTTTTTAATGGAACACCCTGTATACTATTTTTTTAATAGATAGAGAATTAAAAAATGAACAACATTTTGTATTTACAGTATTAATAAAATTTTTAACGGTTTCGCAGATATTTGTCGTTTTATATTTTTAGAAATGATTTTTCTCTCGTATTTTACCGTTGAAAGAGCCATATGATATATAAAACCACAAGTATCTGCGAAGCCGGTGAAAATTTTTGAAATACTCTTAATACAAAAAAAAATATTTTTTTAATTCCCTATCTATTAAAAAATAAGATACAGGTTAATTAAAATTAAAAAAAACGAAGAAAAATTATTTTATATTTTAGAAAGTTTGGCGTAGAACTTTGAACACCCTGTATGATTTAAGGTTACGATATTTATAGTAAAGTAAGTACAGACTATCTAAAGCAAATGCCGAATATAGTTTTGATCTCAAGACAGTTCAATCATTTTTTTTTAAAAAGCTGATTTTTTTTTATTTATTTATTATCTCTGAAACTATCAAAACATATTAACAACCAACTTATAATTAACCACCAACTTTAGCAACCAACCTGTGCAATAATTTCGTTTGTAAATTTTCCTGAAATATAATTTTAGGGTCAGAACCATGTCTCCTGAGCGTTTTTTGGATGGTGCCTTGGTTAATTTTTAAGAGCGAAATGAACTTGCCACCAACAATTTGCAATTTTTTCAATTATAATTTATTTTTGAATTTTTTTTCAATATGACAAGGCAGCTTTGGTGATTATTGTGAACTATATACTACTATGAACTGCCTGCATCATGTTCGACGTTTGGGAAATGCTTGGCTGGAGGGTTCGAGGTCGCGCAGCGTTACCAGCGTCATTAAATGAACTTCGCTTGGTCCTTAAAGAAGAATGAGAAAACATAACGCAATATGATATATGCAGCCTCAATGACAGTATGAACACACGTATACAGGCAGTTCTAGCAGCCAGGGGAGGTAATACAAAGTATTAGGGTACTTTTTACAGTTTTTTTTTTCTGTTTGTGTACCTACTTCAGTATTACAGATGTTTTCCTTAATATCGTTTGTTCTGTTATCGCTATTAATATTTATTAAAACCAGGACTGTATCGTTAGTCTTTAACGTTTTTTTTTTAATTTAGTATAGAGTATCCAATGCACAGTAATATGACGTTACGACAATAGTCACCTACACCATCTCGTCTTTTTAAAAAATGACATCAAAAGTAATGATAACTGAAAAAATTTCAAATTGATCGTGATCAGTTCATTTCGCTCTTAAAAATTAACCAAAGTATGCATTGACGTGATCCAAAAAACAAAATGCTCAGGAGACATGGTTCTTACCATAAAATTATATTTTAGGAAAATTTACACACGAAATTATTGCACAGTGTGTTTTAAAGTTAGGATAAAAAACAACTCCTCGATTAACCCTGTATAATATGCCAATTACTAAAGTTTACAAAAAAACTGAGTTTACGAATTAAAGTTGATATAATTATATACAGCTTGCTAAAAAATTCATGAAAATAGGGTTAAAAATAACAAAAATATAACAATTTAAATTTGACCAAAATTTTCTCCGTTACGTTTTTTTTTGCATCTGAGTGTATATATGTTACGGTTAAGGTACGATATTCGGTTAATATCGACATTACCCGGTTAGTCTCGAGAATAACACAAAACAAAACAACCAAAAACCACACCAAACTCAAACATTAACCGAATAATGTCGACATTAACCGAACATCGGACTTTAACCGTAACATATAGACTTTTAGGCCTAGTACAAAATGTTTTTACGAAGTTAAAAATGTAGTTACGAAAATAATTACAACTATCAAAAAGTTCTTTGAAATATTGCCATTGAAACGGAAATGTTCAGACACATATTTCGCCATTTTAATTTTTGATTGTTTTCAGAAATTCTGATTCTACATCTCCAACTGATGAAGTGATATTAGGTTCCTTGAAAATGGAAATTGATGATTACACTCCACATTTGGATGACTTTAAGTACATTTTTTTAAATGTATATTTACTAATATAATAATAAAAATGTAATTTATTAATTCTAGAAATGCTGAACATCTAGCGGTGACTAATAAAGTAAAATCAGAAGTTTTTTTAAAAATAGAACCTGATGGTGTCACTCCGACTATGAATACGGACATGCAAGATGATTTTAAGTATGTTTTTTTTCTGTATATACAGGGTGGTCCGAACTGTATTCCGGAGACTTCGGCAGCATATTCTCCAGATAAAAATAAGTAAAAAAGTTCCTATAAATGTACGTTCTAAAATGCTTAGTTTCAGAGATAAAGGGTGTAGAAGTTTCATTTTTATTTCGATTTTTTTCCAAATAATTTCTGCAGTAACGTTAATATTTGGATAAAAATTGGTGTCTAGAAGTTTTTTGACATGAGAAATTTGATTTTGATGTCAATATGACTCCTACTGGTAGAGGGCGCCACCTACATATATAACGATATCCGTATACAGGTACGGACAAAAAGTTATTACGCTTTAAAACAGTTAAAACACATGTAGATGGCGCCCTCTACCAGTAGGAGTCATATTGACATCAAAATCAAATTTCTGATATCAAAAAACTCCTAGACACCAATTTTCATCCAAATATTGACGTTACTGCAGAAATTATTTGGACAAAATCGAAATAAAAATGAAACTTCTACACCCTGTATCTCTGAAACTAAGCATTTTAGGACATACATTTATACAAACTTTTTTACTTATTTTTATCTGCAGAATATGCTGCCGCGGTTTCCGGAATACAGTTCGGACCACCCTGTATAAATCTGTACCCCAGAAGCAAACGATGTTAAGTCACAATATACAGTTTTGAGAAAAAACGAATTTAAAGTTCTTTTTTTAAGTTATTTTCTAATTACTCGGTTATTTTTAAACCGTTGATTATAATATTTGGTATATGACTAACTTATTTTGAACATGTTTTGAACTCAAATGAAATGTAAAACAGTTTTTTAAATAAATTATACTGACATTTTGTGTATATGCCAATTTTGGACTTAATACAGTTTGCTTCTATGGTATAGAAATGTATTTTTACTAATTGATACACAGTGTTTTAAATATTTTTTATTGCTTCCAGAAATACTGAAAATTTATCTGTAACTAAGAAGTTATATATTAAACTCGAAGATTTTATAAAAATGGAACCAAAATATGACGATGAAGACGCGCGTTTTTAAATGAAGAAAATATTCATAATGCAATCTTAAAAATTAAAAAAAAATAACTGGTTTGTTTAATTTTCACATGTAAACATTTTTAAGTTTTATGTATAGATTTATTAATCTGATATTTTCAAAAAAAGTAAGTTTTATAAGTTATGTAGTACTTTTATTTTAGCTTACTACAAAGTTCGTAATATAATCAATAATCGTAAAAAAGTTGATTGCATATTAAAAAAGTTATTTAGTTTGCGTTTATGATTAGTGATGGGAAAAATCGGATGAATTCAATCCTCGAGGATTCCAATAATCGGATAATCATCCGAGGAATCCTCGGTCATAAAATTTTCTCTGTATAATATCTCGATCGAAACCTCAATAATACTCGCCGCTGGGTGTGAGTGATTTTGCTTGCTGTTTTTAACATACTATTGCCATGTACTTGAATGACTTAAATAATATTGTAATAAAAATAAATACTAATTATTTTAAAAACTTTTTTAATAATTTTTAATATGTTCGTGTATAATTTAATGTGGGAAATAAAATTTTCATAAGTTTTGCTTTAAATTGTGCTGATTTTGTTTCTTTAACTCCGACTTTGAGGCTAATCTGGCAACCTTTCAGCACACTTTCAGGCCAAATACAAACCAAGTAATTCTAGGAAATACGTGCGGCTTTTTAAAAAGGGCTCGTTATTTATTGTTTATTTGTCGGCGGTCGGTCATTGAGATAAAAAATATATTTTATTTTTTCTTTTTAATAGCGTACTTTCACCGAAAATAAACTGTAGTACCTAATAAATTATTGTAGTAGTATTGTGTTATTGTGCATATTTTAGGTTTTGTGCGACATAATATCCAGTTTTAAAATTGAATTTACCAACTGTATTGTTTGGGTACAGCTTAACTAATAATCGAAAAAAAATTGTTAATGATGATTGTTTCGGATTTTCAACCTCTTTCTCTTGTGATCCCTCATAGTGGAAAAATATTAACTAATAAAATTTTACATAAGGCCGAGCTTAAGGCTTACAACGAGTCAGCTGTCGCTTTAAAAACTGTTTGTAAAAAAAATGAAATAAAATATACAGCAATAATGTTGTTCTTGTTGGCAAATTCCGCAAATCATTCACTTTATATCTACGTTCCATCACACTAAATTTCGATTATACTTTCATCAGAATATAGTCTCCCAACGTACAACTACAAGCAAAGGTTTTTTTTACAAACAAAACACGTAAATTGAAAATTAAAAATGCAAATAAAGCAAAATCTCCAAAGCCTCAACCCAAATAAACAACTGGTTTTGTCAAATGGAATTTTGAAAGTCGAAAACTGACGTATTATGAATTTTCAAATGTTTCAATTCTGAATTATTACACAGAAAATACAACATTTTATTATTATATCAATGGTTAAAAAACTCTAAATCTTAAAATATAAAGTATGGAGAAAAAATCTTTATAATTTAAACAAATATTATAATTAATATATCCCATCTAAACAAAACAAAAATAAGTAATGTATTTCTGTTCAAAAATGCAGAAATGCACAAATGCGATATGCGAGCAGGTGATTAAACGGTTATCCTCTGTCCTCTATATAAAAGGTTTCAGCATAAATCGTAAAATCACCTGTATCGACGCGAGCAGCGAGGACGATACACCACACCCGATGTTAGTTGCGTGCCGAGTAATCCTCGAGGATCGACAAAACAAGGTTTAAGCATAAATCGTAAATCGCCTGTATCGACGCGAGCAGCGAGGACGATACACCACACCCGATGTTAGTTGCGTGCCGAGTAATCCTCGAGGATCGACAAAAATACTCGAGACATACCGAGGATATGAATACTCGGATGACCGAGTATTTTTCACTCGATTGATCCCATCACTATTTATGACTGTCTGCGAGTCCCCAAACATAATAGTAAGCATCAAATATTACTATAGATTACTATTTGTCCTTATAGTACGAGAACTAGCAACGTCGGGAAAACAAGTATTTTAAGAAAGCTGGCCCGTCTGGCTGCCGGTAAACGTTGCGTTCCCTACTGCCCATTGAAAGAATAATAATAATAAAACACTTCATATACAGTAGAAAATAAACATAGAATCCTCTTAAGGTAAGTCCTTGTCTGAGGTTTCATTACTATAATAAAAAGTACAAAGTTATTATATCCATAATTCTAAAATAATATCTAAAAGTATACTATTAATTTATTTCACATCCACACTAATGCACGCAAAATAAAACAAATAAAAAAACACCTTACACCGCATAAATAATTAAGACATAGGGCAGATGGCACATTCTAAGATTACATAATATTTTATTTTTAATATTATTATTCCTTATACAGACCGGACCACCGCACAGTGCTTCGAACATATGGCTCTAGAGGACAAAAATCCAAAACTTCTCTTTTATTGTAAGCAATTTATTCAAACTAGGTTTAGTAATTACTATCATTTGACACAAATGATAGTACTCTCATTGTACTAAATGATGATGTTCTTAGTCCCACGTTTATGAAAAAAAAAATCTTATCAATAATAATAATGTTGGAGCTGTGTTCCATCTAAGCAAATAATAAGTTATAGTACGAAAACGGTGTAAGTATTAAATAAATTCCTGTAATAAAAAAGAATTGAAATAACATTAGAACATGATTCCTACAATATAAGCCTAATATAAGATAAAAATGTTTTTCTTTAATGAAAAAGAAACATTAATGTTATATTTAATTAAAAAAAAAACTTAAGATACTATAAATTTACTTTAGGACAACAAAATGCATAGATCGTAACTACTCTGATTCAGGAGAATCACTGCTGACAGAATCTTCCAAATTTATACTATCCAAATCACAGGTAGATGAAGTATCCTCACATATAAGATATTTCTGTACATCATTTTCTAATATGTTACTTTTTCGCGTTGTTACTGTTCATTTTGTCGGTATGAGGGGTTCGGATGATAATAGTTACCTCTTTAATAGACCATATCCATAAATTATTTTTTCCTTTTCTTGAATATGAGATTTTATAATAAATTGAAAGATGGACACTTTTTTTATGCGACGTTTCGCTCCAACATAGTGGACTTTTTCAGGCACAAGTGGTGTCTCGTTTGACTGGAAGGTTCACCAATATCTAATAAGAACATATTTTTTGAAATACAAATAATTTTGAGTTCTTTTCCTTATGATCAAGCCAAGTATTAGCCAGATCGGCATTGCTTATCAATTTTACTCCATCTGAAAAGTATTATAAAATAAAGTTCGTCGCAAGCAGACGCAGGTGAACTATACAAAAATTAAAAGTGTATTAATATGGCAACAAAAATATTCAATAAATACGATATGTTTTGATATGTTTTTTTTAAATGCCTTTTTGAAGTTTGAAAACGTAAAATTTTTATACCCATTTAAGAATCATCTTAAAAAATAAATAAAAACTAAACAATCACGAACTTGTTTAGAAATAAATTTAAAGGACATACCTTGTTTAACAATATCCATAGTGGCTTTCAATTAAGTACGTACCCGTTTAACTCCATAATATACAGAACTACTATGAATGTTATTCTTTTCACTGATGAGTGAAAATATTTGCTAACAAAAACGCTGTTTATGAAAAATAATATACAGGATGGTTGAACATTGCTATAAGTATAAAATTATATATTCAGATATTAGTAAATTTTAACTTATTTTTTGATTTTTGTCCATGGGACGAAGCACTGTGCACCGTAGTAGTAACATAGGCAGAACCGGACGAATTAGCGTATGCCCGTCCGCCGGATAAAAAGCAGGCGAAAAAATGCGATAAAATAAAAATAGGTAGATATGTGATAAGAATGTTTCAGAATTCGTATTTATTCGTGTTTTAATAGCCAAAATGAATACATAGATTCTCGCAACAGTTCTCGTGTAAAATTTATTTTTTTAAGTAAAATAATGGATGTTTACGAAGTTTGTGAGAAAATTCAAATTGTAAAATGGTATTTCCAAAATAAGTCTTATCGGGATATACAAACAATTTTTCCACAAACTTTTGTAAACAGGCCAATTCCATCTTTACCTACTATATCAAGAGTTATTAATAATTTTGAAACACATAGGTGCGTGTCCCCACAAAAACACAAAAAGCTTGATGTGTTGATTAATGAAGAAGAGTGAAGTTAAGCAAGTGTTCATTGAGTTAAAGCAAGTGTTCATTTGTGCTACCGCGGATCAAAATCCCACGTTTTCAAGTAATCAAATTACTGATGTGGTTGCCTTGCCCACAATGCCCGTATTGTTCAAGAATATTTAAACAATACTTTTCCCAACCGTTCAATTAGTGGACATGGAACTAGTTTGTGGCCCACTAGATCACCAGATCTTTCTCCCAATGATTTTTTTTTGTGGGGTTTTGTAAAATCCAAAGTGTATGGTCATAATAGGGCTAATAATCTGGAGGAGCTTCGAGTAAAAATACAAGAGGCTTTCCAAACTATTAGCCCTAATATATTAGCCAATGCCAAACGGGGATTGTACGATCGCCTAGTAGTCGAGTAAAATCACTGAGAAAAGTCGCTTCCTTCTCGAAAAAAAATTTTTGAAGGTATAACCACATAAAAGCTTTATGAAATGATCGGTTAGGGCTTTGTGCATGTGAAATGACTAATTACGACCTTTTGGGGGGGTCAGAAATTTTTTATCCGGGAAAATGTCAAAAATCTGTCAAAATTGTATAACCATGTTTTTTTACCTTTCCTACGCGATAACTCCTAAACTAATCAGCTTATTCACATACTCTTTTTGTTAATCGATTGAGAACACATAGGCGATGATAGCTGAAGTAATTAAAGTTCCATAGTCAGTGTATTCTTTTTTGGAAAATGGATTAAACTTCAAACATTAACTTTATTGTATCATGATTTTCGGTAAGCGAGAAACTTTTTTATTTGAAGGAATTTTTACATAGTATCTGCGTATGAAATAAAGAAAAAATATTGAAAAAGTTTTTAAAACTTGTTACAACCTTCTATTACTAATATTTTTATAGTTATTCTGATTTAAAGTTATCATTATCCCGTGCGCGGGCTTTAGAGACGCCGCGCTATACCTCCCGGCCTGCATCACGTTGTACGGCGTGCTAGATGTGGCATTAATTTGTGTTTTAGAGTAAATGTAGAAAATTCTTTTTAAGTAATTATTTAATATCTG